GCCTATGCCACGATGACTGATAGAGCTGTCACCTATTGCTCCATTGCCCCTTTCCGGTTTTGAGAATCACGCACTTTTGAGGTGGTGAAACCATCCACAAAATACGTGATTGCATAGGTTCATAGCAAAGCGACAGAGATTTTGATCTTAACCACACCATTCCACCCTATTCTTAAAAATATATTTTGACATCCTAGTCTCATTTAGAGAGGATCGCTTGGTATTTCATTGTTACCATATTTGACATACTAAAACAAGTTCCCAACGTAATTTTTTTTTCACAGGTCGCGTTGAAATTATTGCATTTTCAATCTTTTAAGGCCAAACTATGTTATCGTCTGCCTTCTTGCTAGGATCTTTCTCCAGATTTTTTGTCAAAGTTACAATTCAATCATCTTTAATTAGGTCTGCGAACTTGGGAGCAGATCTGAGTGTGCGTGAAAACGCGGAAGTCATTCGTTGATAAGTTGTTTCCGGTTTACGATGATGTAATACAAAGGCGTTGCTACTTTGTACTGCCATAACAAAGTAACTCCTCTTGGCTCCTTGCAATTTATCATAGTTACGTTCACACGAACTACTATTAACATTTTGCGAGTTGATGCTAAACTGGCTTCATGATTGTTCCAAGGTTCGCGGGGATGCGAAGATAGGGAGTTTTGGGTAGTTGAAGTTTGTAGTGCAAATCACAGGAAGAAATTGGCTTAAATAGTTAGTTAGACAGATACGTTTACACTTCACATCTGGCCTCTTCCATTTCAAATAAGCTGTCAAATCAGTTTTCATTGAGGGCCCATAACTCACTATCATCTCTTCGAAAGCAACTCGTATTGTAGTGCACTTACTGTACATTCTTTTTCTTTTCTCAACACGTGCAGGTGGTGCCTCTGGCACATCGCAGCGGATTGATTGAATGGTGCGAGGGCACTATTCCTCTTGGCGAGTGGTTAGCTGGTGAGACCTTTGGAGCCCACCAGCGCTATCATCCATCCGACCTTACACCTTCTCAGGCCAAGCTCAAACTGGCCGGTACGCGTGACAAGTCTCTTGAACATAGGCTGGTCGTCTTTACGGAGATCTGTTCCAAGATGCAGTAGGCGTTTTATTATTATCTCATTTTTTTCGCATGTTTGGCACCATTCATGTGTTGTTCCGGTTTTATGAAAAGTCGCAAAATATGGTTGGTTCTTACCGTTGTTTTATTCCACATTTGACATTTTGTGCAGCATAAATCATGGTTATTGATATTTCAATAATTGAATTTATTTTTATTTTGAATAAATTATCTTTATCATGCTTTTTGATAATCTGCTTTATGGTACTAGAGTGGATTATTGTTCTACAAATCAAATTAGACTTATTCATCTCTCGAAGGAGTAGCATTAGATGCCTATCCTCTTACCTTTGTCCTGAAATTCATCGTTGCAGTCAGGAGCCGATAAGCAATGCTGTAAATTAATATAGCAGGTTACTTTCCGCCTACGAGCAATCTTGGGTTGTTGTTATTCTTAATAACTAGTTGTTCTCGATTTCAGCTAATACACTTCAGCATCTATTAGGCCCTTGTGTATGGGGATTCGGGACAATGAGGTTGGCTAGTGATGAAGGTCTTCAATCAGTGCAGGGAGATGGGAGTCAAATCTGCATAATGTTCGAGTGCGCTTACAGCACTTTAGAGAGTTCATTTTATGTTTTTTTTTCGCTAACTGTGAAAGACTCAAAATAGTAGATTTTGCCATCAATGTGAATCATGCATTCCTACTGAGATTAGCAATATCATGGGTGGGAATACGTGAAGAGAGGACGGCGGTTTTTTTACGCCGAATAGCTCTGTGAAGCATGCCCATTTGGAATGAAATATCTTCACACCCTTCAGGCTAGTCTACAAAGGCGTCTTTGAGCTCGTGCGGGTTATATTTGAGTATTTCACCTCACATACTTTACATGCTAATCTACTTTGTCTTATCCCTTTCATAGACCAGTTCTGGGGTACTTCTTTCTGGAATATTTTCCCGAGCCGAGTATGTGGTACACGGCCAAACGGCGCTACACTGCGTCGTTGGCGACCGCCTCGATTTTAGGCTATCTGGTGGGCTTAGGCGACCGGCATCCGCACAATCTCCTCCTTCATCCTACCACTGGTGAGGTGGTGCACATAGATTTGGGCATCGCCTTCGATCAGGTTTCGCACATCATTTTTATATTCTTACCTTAATAATGCCCCATGGATTATCTCTGCACTATCTCCGCTATGTAAAGTTTTTGGTTTCTTCTTAAACTGCCTTAACTGCGCCTTTTTTGAATCCCATGTAGAACGCTTTAACGCTTGGCGATCAAGCACTTTTCATCCTATTCAGTTTTTGAATGAGGGAGGTGTTTTATGCTTCCACAAAATTAGTATATGCTCTAAATTCTATGTGAATGATACCACAAATGTCTATCAAGGTTTGGTTTTGTTTCTGTTGTTGTGAAGAGGTGGGACAGTTGAGCTTGTAATATTTGTATAAATTACTTTTATCCGCAAATGTAGAAAGCCGCCTTTGTTAAAGAAAATGGGCTCTTTAGGAATAGCCTTACAAACCTCATCTTAGTAAAGTTTATGCTCGTCCTCTTGTGTTTGTTTTCTTTGACTACAAAGTTCATTGCTTTGAACGTGTTCATTTTTATCTACAGTTTTGGAAACTGTCATTGGGTGTGTCATAGTCAATTTTTCTTGCACACGATGAAACATTCGATCCGTTGCTTAACATCGAACGTCACATGTGTGACCTTCTTGTTTCATTCAGAGGAACTTGTGTTCATTCACTTTATAATTGTACATTTGCTCACTACAAAATATAAATTGTTTGTGCACTTTAGATCCACCTCAAGTATTTAGACTTTGAAATCTACACCACATCTCACGAACATTATAAACTACTCAAATGCTTTTTGAATTAATCTATAAAGTGTCCTTAAAAGCCCTCACTTTTTATGTTTAACTCACAAACTTTCTTGAAAGAGTCGGTCTGCTTCCCAGCTTTCTCACTTAGTAGGCTTATGCGTTGATAATCAACGTCGGGCCGAACCCTGTGCTTACGCGAAGAATGAAACCGCTCTGCAGCTTCAGCACTCATCTCAGAGCCACTTACAACTCATATCCCTAACTTTCTTACACTGGATGTTGAGGTCTGCTTCCTGATAACTTGCGTTAGATCCCGAGAGAATTCAAACGCATTTTGTCCCCTTTTTGCCTCCAAATCTACAAAGGGAATCCTCTTTGATTATTCATGGGTTCTGCTTAGTCATGGTTTTTGGTCAGCGTTGAAAGTGTTCAATTACGGAACAATTCAATACGCAAAGTAATCCAACGATGTTTTTGTAGAATGTGCATTTTTAGCTGCTAAATAAGGGATAAATCAATTGTAAGAGTGATATCATATTTGATTCAAATGTAGTAGAAAAGTTTTATCATCTACACCACAAAGCATATTAATAGAGTCAAGTTGCATAAGCTTTTATCTGTTTCAATCCTGCATCACTTTCTTATACTGCTTTTCAGTCGTTTATCCTATTTCTTTTAAAAGCGGGTTTGTTGCCTATTTCCCTATTATTCGTGATAGGGACGTCTTATGCCAACTCCAGAGGTGGTACCATTCCGACTGACGCGCGATCTTGTCCACGCTCTTGGCCCACTGGGCGTGGAGGTGGGTTTCGTGGGCACCGCAGAGTTGGCACTTTGCGCCTTCTCCTCCGGCTCTGAGATTATTCTCACCCTCCTTGAGGTGCGGCTCCCCGTCTAAGCTCCTTTTCAGGTCTTAGTTCTCTTAATTTGTCAACTGTTTGCAGCTTCTCCAGATGCGCGCACGGAGAGGGCACAAATTAGTGCTCTATCTTTCAGGTCACCCCTTAGGGTATTTGCACCGATATGACGATGGCGTGGAAGGCGACAAACCTACGTCCTAGCACCACATCCTTTAAAGCTACAACCTTGGTGCTCTTAATGGTCACTCTTCTACTTTAAATGTCACAAGAGTTCACAAAAATTGAAATCTGATTCGACAGAAAGAGTCAAACATAGGATATTTGCTATCATCAACAAGAATGCTAGGTTACACGGGGTAATTACTGCCTTAGGTCGATGTGTATTTTTCACTTACAGTAGCAAAGGGTTCCTCTGTACGACTAGGATCAGGGATGGATGATTTTGTACAGGAAGGACGTATGGCGTAGTATCTTAATGGGCATTTATGTGCAAAAACTGGCGATTGGATATCATAAATCACCATTATTGTAGTAAATCCAAATTTACGTCTTAAATCGTTCTCACCTGGGCATTGGCACCTCACTATCTGGGTATTTGGCAGGTGCTGTTACATGACCCACTCTACTCCTGGTCGCTTTCACCTGCCCAACTGTGCGCGCTGGAGGCGCGACGCGCGGAGATTGCAGGATGTACAACTTTTCGCGGGAATGGTCACAGGGAGAGGCCTACCATTGCCAACACTAACACTACAGTTCCTGCTGCTACCGCCTCGGGCTCCATTGTCAATCCTTGCGGGACTCTAACAGGAAGACATCGAGGTAAACTGTGTTGCTACTTCGAATTGGTTTTGAAATCTAGCACTTCGTTTGGCCTTTGGTCGCTGTTATAAGATTTAGAACTGCCTTATGCTTCCAGTCCATACTAATTTACAAAAGCATTGTACCCTTAGAAATGACTTCATTTCTTAACTTGAACAGTCGAAATGAAATCTGCTCCAGCGAGTACTATCCTATTTATGTTCCGATTTTATTAACCTGTAAATTTCATGATAAAATGCTCTAATGAAAATCTGAATCTATGAAATTTAATGAATTTCGCCAATGGTATGCTTTATATTATGGTTGCGCAATGCCTAAGCCAATCGACAAGGTGATAAGCCGTTCATGAATAGTTAGGACTCCGCAAACTTTGGCAAGGTGTCTTCAAACTTCACTCATTTCCTTATTGTAATGTTGCCAAATAAAAGCATGTTATTTCAGAACTCGATGCATCTTTGTTAAGTCTCTTTCATCCATGAGGCGTCTTACCGTTCACGCGATGTCACGCGTGGTTCCATTGAATCAATAGCAGGTCCATGCTATTGCTGGCCCGGTAGACCACCAATTTGACTATCAGGCGCCTTCATGAAATTGACAGACCCCAACAGAAGGACGTTCAGCTGTCCCCAACATCTCAGAGTAATTGTGTACAGTGTAATATGAAGGTAGACTAAGTTAGAGAATGTCATTGCTAAATCATCCAGTGTCTTGCTAGAACGAAATGGAATTGAAATGTTTAAATGTCAAAGTTGCGACCCTTTGGAGCAAATGAAAAGATGAGTTTAATTATCTCTGGATCTTGAGTTAGGATCTGAAAAATTGGCTCATAGGATTACAAGCCGTCCCATACCTATTTACAAGCCCACGCTCCCAATCAATGTTCTCATTTCTCTTAAGTGTGTTAAATCAGGCAGCATTGGAGAAATCCTAGCAACCCTTAACACGGTAATCACTATGATCTTGCAAAAAAAGTCGACCATAGAAATCATAGATCTCCATTGTTGTAGCCTAAGAGCAGCTGCTCCTAACTGACCATATCGTTCTGAGTTGAGTTCCCTGTAATCGTGTAAAACTAGATTCGGTGAACCAATTGGCTGAGCGAGTGCTACTGACAGTGCGAGATAAGTTGGCTGGTCGCGTGGGGGGCATTGGGAGCAGTGGTTTGACCGCAGGGACCCAGGCGGAGGGCGCTCTTGGTACGCTTAGGCCTGCTGGACACGTTGCCCTGCTTGTGCGCACCGCCACAGATCCACAAAACCTCGGACGCATGTATTTCGGGTGGCAGGCTTATCTTTGAACATCTGATCTGTCATTCTTGATTGTCTCTTGATGAACGACTCACTCAACTTCCCACTTGTCTGAGAATGTACCTCCTCTCGGCCCTCCCTTTCGTCCCCTCCTCCCACTCTGTTCTGTTCAAATATTTTTTTTCTACAAAATTAGGCGTTTAGCACAGTAGACCATCTTGTCCAAACGTGTTTGAAAAATGAATAAATAATGATTGAAATCTCTTCTACAAAAGGCTATATTTTATGCTCCCCATCTAAATCTCGACTATATGCCTACGTGAGTGGAACTTCTTGACATCGAAAACTATGTTAAGTGTGATTTGGAGCTTCAGGACTCTTACATAAACTTAGGACGACAAATACAATACGTAAACATAGTGTCTAAGATCAAATGCATAAAATGGCTCCAGTAGTCCTGTCCACTTCTGTTTCTTAAACCTTGCTAAGCATCCAGCGGCCCGGACTCGCCGCGAAAGTCTGTATGGCGCTTCGAGACGGCTGTTCTCAGCGTTACCGTTTCATAACGCATCTCGCATTAAAAAAGAGGCGGATACCACGTAATATTTCGATCCGCACTTAGTAACGAAAATTACCTTGCACTGGAAGGCATCACGGTGACAGTTGCACATCGAAGCCTTAGATCTGAGGATCATTTGCAAGCATTACATTTGTTTTATGAATTTCCAGTTAAGCGACCTAAACGAGAATACCTTAGCCATCTCCACGCCTAGATTAAGAAAAAAAGCAAAGCATTATCAGCCTCTTGTCTACGAATTGTCAAGTGGTAGTAATGCGTGCGGCAAAATTCAGTCCCGCGAAAAGTTGGGAATGCATATTGACATAAAATTGCCAGGATAATTTATAAGGGAGCTCAGATATTTCGGTAGCAAAGAAAAAAAAATCGCGTAGGACAGCCGAGGAGGAACAGAGGAGAAGCTACCGACCACACCGCTTCGTAATTCTCGAATAAGTATGAAGAACGTTGAATAGGTGTGAGGGGTTCATACATTTATGACTTGGCCATTGCCTAAAATTAAATTAACAGTGATTTTTTAATAGGCGGAAGCTGGGACTCGGACAAACAGAACTACTAAGCGCTCACCATGACAAACCTATACGTGAAGGTAGGTAAGGGCTGATCCTATGAAATGAAAGCAATACGAGCCTAATGCCAATGAAACAGTAGTGAAGATTTAGGAATAGTTGTGCTTAAACATATGGTAAACAGGAGGCGATCCATGCAAAAACTTACAGAATCTCAGTTTCCCTGCTATGCCAAGGCAAAAGACCGACCAACGAAGGCAGACCAAACAGCACAGTAAGCTTAATTGGTGGTATTGGACATATGCCTTTGAACGATAATACTTCAAAAGACATTACCATAAAGTATAGTGTCAATAGTACTGGGAGTGACCGAGGCGAATGAGGACGAAGATAGATACTTCGCTGCGGACGAAACTAAACGCTGCCCAGTACTGAAGTCCATAAAATGAACACAAGAGGATAGACCCTTAGAATAAACTAAAGATAGGGTGTTCTGGAAAAAATACCTCTTAGACTTTTAAAATCACTTGAGCACTTGATTTCCGAGCAGTCAACGTCGTTGCTTTCCCTCAAATAGGAGCGCGTTAGCATAAAAGCGGAAGAATTCGAAACTATTCGTAACGAAATAACACAAGCGACTTACGAGCTTTAGCAGTAATTGAGACATCCCCGATCTGAAGATTTACACAGATAAGAATTAATTGGCACAAAGTAGGAATGGATAAATCGTCTTCGTAAATCACAAATGCAATGTGATCCAAATCTTGAACAGGCTTATCGACGTGCAGAAAAGGAGAGGATGTGAAATTCAGACCACCATTCCAATGGCGATTGAAGGTATGTTTGATGTCAAAAAACCCAGCAAACAGCCAGGTAACACATGCATAGAAAATCAAAGCCAGCGAATGCAACAAACGAAGGAAAACGACCTTCAGATCCATCTTGAAATGCACCCGTAGGCTAGTGTTCTAATGGATCCCTAATGACATTAGAGAGAACATCGAAGTTAACAGCTCACATAACCTCGATTTTCTCAAAACTTAAACTGCATGCATTAAAGTCGCCTGCGTCAATGCGAGCCGATTTTTCCAAACAGCGTCCTCGCATGCTGGTAGAGTGCGGATCTAGAAGGAAAACTTAAACAGGCTGCCATTACCCACTAACAACGAACAATGTCCTCTAATGAATGTATAAAGATTTGGAACTTTCGAGTGTTATGTAACGATTTTATATATATGTCTTTTCATGCGTTGAGGACTGGCTTGAGAGGAGAACCAAGGGGAAACTTGAGGACGCCGCTCAACTGAAGAGGGAAGCCGTGTAATATCTTGCTTATGTTACTACCTGATGTCTGGCAGTTACTTCAGGATTCGCCCGGCCTTCGCAAGCTTGAACTAGCTTTTAGGTCAAGTCAGAGCAGACCAGTCTAATGACTTCTACTAAATGTGAAGTCTCTGGAAACTACAGTCACTATGCCGGATTTTGTTGACAGACGTTGAAAAGCAAAGTTAGTGCATGCTAACTGTTTGGATTTAATACTTATATACCAACTTTGAAATCTGTCTCAGACAGAAAGTGTATAATGCTTTGTAAAAATTTTATGCAGTACACTACAAAATTATCTGTATTTTTGCAATAGCAAAATTCATTTAATGTGCAACAAATTTTATAACATTGTCAGTGCCCTCTTTTGTCGGTCGAAATTCCTTTCGACATTCTCCTCCAATTTGACATACTGTTGATTGGCTGATAAAGGACCTGTCTTGAGTACAGTAGTGTCAATGCAAGCCTGTACACTTTCTGGCCGTAATGTCTAGGCGTCTGGATGGACGTCTCCTTTTTGGCTGTGGTCCTTGTAGGCCAAAATGGGTTAAAGTTGTTGACAACATCTACACCGGAAATCACTCGGTAGTATGCCATTTTGAAGTAATTATGAGGATCTTCAAGGAAGGAATCGACAAACTAGTGTGCCACTGTGCTAGAAAACCTGATAAGTTGGATAATATTGCAAAATACCTGCATAAGAAGCTCCTCTCAGATCTTCACCATCGGAATTATGCGTATTTCGCTCATTTTTTTCAAATTTTTAGAAATGTGAATATAACTATGGAGGCCATCAGTGCCTTAGTTAATACCTGCTATCGTCTTAAGCTTAATCTTTTTGACTCAAGCTTCCTAAAGATGGTTTTGTTGCTGCTCGAACAGGACTTGCCAGAGCTGCAGTTGCTCGGCACCAAATCAGTAAGTTCATTGGAACACTTACTTTGCTGCAGTTTTTAGGATTTTCTCAAATAGAGGAAGATGCTCCTAGTTACTATCGCGAGTATGACGATTTAGTGGATCATTTTACCAGAATGGCATACTCAGAACTACCAAATGAAGTCGAGCGAAAGAAGTGACTACAAGTGATACGGAAATTATTGACGCTTTCTAGAGTTCGTATGGCGGGAATAAGGGGACTTCAAGGCGTTGTCAGGAAAACCGCCAGGGGCCAACTGCGAATGAATGCTCTGCAGAGCATGGAGAAGATTATTCCAGCACTCCTGTTTAATATTCATGAGAGGTATGTCAAGTCTCATGATTATCTGAACCCCTGCTGATTCTTAAGTTATCGTTTTCTATGTTTCAATTGAAACTGGCCGCATTTTAGACCACCAAGTGATGATGAGGCGGATGAATCCGAACCTGGTTGTCAAGCTGTCTTCGTATTCAAAGATGTAGTATGCCGCGCTTCTTTCACAAACCTCATCCCTGTTGTTTCTGCTATGATTACGCAAGTTATTCTAGCCCCTCTTGAATGTCTTATTCTTCTGTATAGTCCGTGAATTCAGACATTGGTTTTATCAGATTATGAGCTTTACTCATGAATGATGCACTTGTGTAACTACTTGGTGTCATCTTCGCCTCTTAATTTTTTTTCTGTTCAGCCACTTTGATAATCATAGACTCTGGACTCCCAGCGATTTCCCTCTCCTGGTTTTTGGATACTTATTGGATTCTATTAAGGTAATTTAAATAATTTTTTGCAGGAACTAAATTCCATTACGCTTATCCATATTTATGGTGCTAGATGTAAATAATATTTTTGGCTGCTTTCTTATGGCTTCACGTTGGATGCCTTTTGCTATCATTCATTTAGAATATGCAAGTCGCCCACAACCTCGTAAAGGAACTCATCAAATACTTGCGAAAAAGTGATACAAGACTGACTACTCTCCAACGAATTTCTGTCGTGATGGTAAATTATTATTCACTCTCAAATACATGTAATCCGGTGTAGTTTATTAGCTATCTAAATTGATTCACTCGTGCATGTGTGTGTGGTCTCCTCTTCATCTTCATAGTATAGTCAAGGAGCTTACTTATCTCTGATTATTTATTGCATTTTATTTATTCTTCTATGACTGCTGCTTTGCGTAGCATATTTGTCACTCCGTAGTGTTAATTTGCTTCCTCGGACTATTTTTTACCTTGACATTGCCTTAGCATCCTGCTTATTGATTTTTCAGTCCAATTAAATGAACTTGGACCCTTAATTTGCAAAACTTTGTAGATATTGTGCAGGCTGGTGCGTAATATAGTTCTGAAAATATTAAATTTCAATTTTGCCGCTTTTGGATTCCACACTTATGCGATCAATAAGTTTCACAAAATCCGCACGTGTCCGCAGTCTAATGTACGACGTAGGATCATGGGAGCAGGACAATCTAATCATAAACTTCATCGGCCGTCGCTTTACAGCATACGATTCAATCGTATCAAATCACGGCGCATTTTCTCGCACAAAACTCTTCTCGATATTGATGGCCGCGCACCCGGTGTAGTCGGTGTGGGGGATTTGGCGTCCAGTAACCCGCCAAGCAGCTTTGAAAGCGAGAGTGCTAGCGTCTCCCTTTCCCATTCTTTCACACTTGCGGGGTCGGCCTCTTCCTCTCCTACTCCTCCTATTGAAACATTGCTGATGTTGTTGGGAGAATCAAACCCATCTTTGGATAAGAGGGGTTGCAAAAAGGGGAAACCAGTCCTTTGTGGGGATGAGGCTACTGATGACCGTCATCATCATCCACAGCCTAGAAAGCGGGCTCCTCTGGGATTCTCGATAATGCCTGCGGGAGGCGTAGCTCTGACAGTCTACATTAAAACCGCACTGCAACGGCAGGACACAGAGGACTGGAAGATATTTGGGAAGAAGGCAGAACGATATTTAACAGGCCTGGAGAGGCAGTACAATTGCAATATCATGTTGTTTGATAGGCAATCCTGGTTCAGAGGTGTGCCCATTCGCAAGCTGAGGATTGTGGGCAATAACTGTCAGGATGTGCTAAAGTGCAAGGGCGGGCTACCGGCTTTTATTTCGGAAAATCTAATTACTTCGGAAGATAACTATGTGGACACGCTAGGCTACCAATTTCATGTGCGATAAATTTGAAAGTAAACTTGCTAATTGTAAATACGTGAAACAAATAAAAAAGTACACAACAAATGTGATCATATCGGACTTGTCAATGGCTCCGAGGAAGAGAGAGGGGGATTTCTTAGTGCGTTTTAAAAACCTAAACGCTGACTACAAGAGGCCTTTTTTGCTATTTTTTAGGTTATCGATAAGTCAGTCATCACTCTTGCCAAAGGTGCTATTGGTCCTGATGTCTTTCACAATTTTAAAGCTCTGCTTCAGGTATTTATTTTTCTACAATTTCCTTCAAAAGGTGGTTTTCGACAGGTATTCTATTAGTTTCCTAAAAATATCCCACATTTTTAGCTGAAAGCTCAAGACAATTATTCAAACCGAAACTGATTGGTATTTATTTTCAATATTTAACTTTCCTGAATTCTCTGAAGCAAGCCTGAAAGATTAATTCTTCATGTGTATGGTATGGAAAAGGTGTTGGTAACTTTTGAACTGGCACGGCAGTTCATACATGCGGTGTGAAATTCTTGTTGTGGATTATGCAGCCTCTGTCCCGTGATTTGTGGAAAACGTTTCGTGACTCCTTTCAACCAACTCAACGCCGTTTTCTATTATTGCCTGTTTGTTCGTGTGAAAATGGAGACTCTTCTATTAACCTTTTCTAACCGTTTGCAAGCCCATTGTTGCTTACGGTGGGATCACAACGTATTGCAATAGGCATTTTGTTCCGCTAAAAGTGCCTGTGTGAGTCTACTCGTTGTTGAATGTTAATCTTGATCCTAAAACTCAGATACTAGTTTTATCCAACTTGCATTACGAGATCTGTCTTTAGTCCTACTGCTTCTTAGATTCCATTGTGGGAGATGCGTATTCGAATTTCACGCCCCACGAAACCCTTGTTTTGGTTGTAACAAGTGGTCATGCTCGATTTACAATTGGGAGCCATTCCGTTTTCTGAATAATTACCCTTGAGTCGCTCAAGTCATTTCCGTGGGGTGGAATTCGTATAGGAATACTAAGCAAATAAATATTATTTATTACCACAGATCAGTAAACAGCGATGAGTGCTTTTTTAGTCAGTTCATAAATCTTCTGTTTAAGCGTAGGGACTGAATTTATTCCACCTAGAGATAGTCTTCGGTTTTTACATTCACGAATTCAACTACCACTTTTGGAGCATCTTTGACAAAACAAGATCTCTCATTCCTGTAAAATCATACTGAACAGTCAGCTTTACTTATTCACCGGTAATTGAAGCTACCATGATATATAGTGTTTTACTCTTTCTAAGGCAGTATTTGTAGGATTGTACCCTGTGCATTCTAGGTGCTCTCAAGACCGACAGTTGCTATTCAGCAATTGTTCTCATCAATATATTGGAGCTTAGGTCCCCTGTGTACTGATGATCACGGCTCATTCGCTATCTTTTTTTCCCAGATGTAACTTCTAATTTAATCAAAATATATCGCGAAGTAACACCTATTTATCCTTCAGATTCTGAGGTCCAGCATTGAAAAGACTTCGAAGGGTGTTGGAGCCGACGAGCAGCGTTTCCATGATGCAATCATGAACACAATCGCTGAGTTCGCTAAAAACCTCCCTGATGCCCAAAAAATTGAGATCCTCAAATTCATCCTCAATTTCGATCCTCTTCCAAGGTAAGAGCAATCACTTATTTGAGTTGAAGACATAATTCGCATCTATTCGTCTTTCTGCTACCTATCTCTCTTTTCACTTTTAGTGGACGGTCAAACAGCAAGGACTACTCAAAACCGATGGTGAAAGTGTTGGTGAAAACTATGCTTACAGTGGCAACGCAATACCAAACAGTGGCGATCTCGAATGCTATTGATTCAGACTTTTTGCGTCTTTTGCTTCATGGAGTGGCTCTTGACCCCGACGCATCCATTCGAGTTTACGTGCAAAAGATTCTCCACGCTCTCATTGATCGACACAATAATGCTTCCAAACTCCTCAGAGTTAGGTTGGTGCTGCCACTTTTGAGATAGTAACTACTTACCTTATAACTTCAACTCAAGTATTCCATTAAAAGCCAACTGTGAAACTCCTTTGCATAGATAAATAAATAATTAGAGAAGTGGGTTTGGTAGCCAACCCATTGTGAATTATGTTACTTATTTTTAATAATTCGAGTGATCCCGCCCAGAATATGGTCAATCTTATGCCGAAATGAAATGTTCTCCTTTGTAGAAGGCTAGTAATTATTTGGTTGCGTGGATGAGGTGGTAGGCAATGGCGGTTTCCATGCTTGACTTCCATCTTTTGAGTGGCGTTGTCCGCTTCGTTGACTAACGCGCAGTTTTGCCGATAACTTGTTCGTACCTTTGGTGGAGAATTACGGGTGACAGAGAGAAAGTGCTAAAATCATAAGGGAAAAATGGCTTTTTGAACCTTGCTTGGATTCATTTGCCACATTATTGCGGGTTAATCGACCTGTTGCTCTGAGGCCCGGCAAGTTGCAATTTTTCAGGGTAAATGTGGTGATAACTTGACGCAAGGTCTCGTGAATGATCAATTTGGATCTTGTGGCGTAAGCGGCGTCATTATTAACTTCTTCCCATCAAGATGTAATTGCTCGACCTCATCCTATCTATCCAGATTACCTACCTTGCGTATTTACTTCCCGTACTCCATTGTTCCTAATCTGGAAACCCAGCTTTTTTTGTCTCATTAGACCATGTTGGGGCTAATATATTCCCTTTCCTTACAGAATCTACCCCGCTGAGGAGGTCACGAATGTCTACACACGAGAGAAGCCTTCTCGACAGGATATATTGTTCATGAAAAAGGTGATAGTTATTTACTTGTACCTAATTGCCTAATTTCTTAGGGCAATTTCTTATTCAAGTGGAAACTACTGCCAGTTACCTATTCCCTACTCGAATTGTCAGCTCACCAGTTTCACTGTTGTCATTCCTTGTATATTAGCCAAACTCTTTTTTCTTTTGTGTTTGGGAAGGGGAGTTGTCTTACATTATTTAATGCTGTTGCTCCTACTTTTTCCTACAGACCGGCTATCTGTTGACAGAAAACATCTTCCACCAGATGTTGGACCCCAGTAACAAAGTTGACAATCTTGAGCACCTGATGTGCACCATTGGACTGGTGGCACTGGAGATGGGTGCCGAAGAGGCGGGTTTCTTTCGCATTGATAGCCCTGCCTTAGCTACGATTTATTTGCCACTTTTGAATTCATACCTCAGACCATTATTGCAGCTTTTATCCCCACCGTTAAATTTTCTTCCTCGACAGATGGAAACATAGCTAAGACATGGAGATACTTACTCTCCTTTCTCATGCCTTCATACATTAATTCGAGGACTTTGTATATTTTAAATGCTAGCAATGCTGCCTTGTAAGGAACTAAAGGCGTCTAACTAGAAATAGGGTGTCAATTAATTAAGTAACAGGGTTTCCCCTCCCCTTTCGTCAGGTTCTCGTGGAATTGTTCCGTTTAGTGCTAGCGGTTCAGCAGAAGGTTGTGGAATCAAATGGGGGTCTTCCCTTGCCGCATCTATGTGCTATCCATGCTGTGCTTGCAACTGTGGTGTCAATTATTGTCCCCATTTCGCCTCTAAGGGAGTCTCTACTTTCGCACGTACAAGCTGTAAGTTTTTGTTTTCTTGGTGTTCAGCTGCAGCCACTATACTTTATCACGTCTCTTAATTATTTCCTTTGTTTGCAAGCCAAATACCTCAACGTAAGATATCGATAAAGAAAGATGTTTAGTTTTCGTCACTGCTGCATCACATAATGACTGAGCACTATTGCGTTTTCCCACTGCTTTCCTTATCCGGCGCTCATGTGTGTTTGTGTGTGCGTGACAATTTTGAATGTTTTTACTAGACAACTTTGATGCAAGCTTGCTAATCGCATGAGAACTCGAAGGCTTGGACCTGCTTTGAACACTTGTTTTCATGCTTTTGGAGGGAGTATTTACGAGTCTTGATTTCCATGGTTCTGGTTGTTGTGGACAATAAATTTATGGCTTTTGATGTTTAACATAGTTCCATATTGCCTATGTTTAACGAGCTCCACTGTCGGTGAATTTTGCTACTGGCGTCACATATGTATCATATGTGTAAATACCTTCAATAGGTATTTACACAAAGCTTTGTCGAAGTGGATGCAGGATCTTCCTGCCTCAAGGTTAACCAAAGTTAGTTTTTTTCAGCAATGCTGGTTTAACCAACCGATAGCAAATCCATTAATCGGTTTAGTGCCTGCGTTTATTCATTTACGAGGTTAGTAGTATATGCAACCTGTTGTTCACATTCACTAATCTGATACTGTTGCGATGATGCCTTTCGCTTCGATCCTTCCTTTGGTTTTCTATGAGCCATAGGAACCGTAAGATTTGCTACTAACCTGCAGAAATTCTACGAAACCACAGGCATGGTCAGAGTTATGAATCACAGGAATAAATCACTGCTAATTGCGCATAAGCTAACTACTTTCATGTACGGTTATTGGGTGATCGATGTCTTACATACATCCAACTGGAAATATTAACGTCTACGGCTAGTTGTAGAGAGTAATGAATGAATTCACACACTGATACCATAAACTTACTAAGGTGGACGAAGGTCTTGTAACGAGTTGCATTAAGCAAATTGATTAGAAATACTGTTTCACAGTTAGCGTGTTTTTAACATCACTCACGTTTCACAAATTATCTACGTTAGTCATATGCCACCTCTACTTCGTCGCCGTTTTTGCGCCATTCTCTCCAACTATCAGTCTTGATTGTTTTCATTGTGGAAAATTACTAGCGCCTGCGTCTCGTTAATTACTAATTGTTTGAACGACTTTCAGCTCGGCTTCCAGTTAATTCATTTTAACTCCTACTTCATCGAGGATGAAGTAGGTAATTTATTTTGCATTGCCTTTGATCTGACTGCCAGCTGATGCGGCTCAAAGAAGGTTCCCTTCAATGCGTCAGTGCGATCTGAATAAAACTCCCTTAGAGAATGCGTTTGGTCGTAGCGTTTCGGTTATTCGTGAAAGCTGATAAGACGAAGTCTAGAGATGGGTGTCATGATTTTGTTACTCGTGAACGTGAGCATCCTATTTGAGGCATCACGCAGTAATTTGAACGCGTCACATCTCTTCAGTGTGCGCGTGATATCAAGTACGCGACTGTTCTCGGTTTAGAGAATGATGAGTGCACATAGAGTGACTGCCGTCTTTGGCTGATTAAATAACCATTTATTTTATCACTCAGGTTATAAGAATCCGTCGGGAAAGAGCTCCTTACCTCCTCCCAGAAGTCGCTTTCAATCGGAAAAATACACAGGAAACGTGAGTCATCCTTTTGCAGTCTTAATCAAAGTTTATTCACCCCTTTTAGGATATCATATCGTTTGGTATGCGATTTTTGTAAGCACTCGAAGTCTAATGCTTACCACTATCTCGTGAACTTTTTATTTTGCCTATCCCGTCTTGTGGGTGGAAAAGTGACTTCTATCCACAACTATTTATTGGTACGCTGTTGGCCTTGGGCATTACTTGCATTAACTTGTTTTAAAATCCCACATTTCTACTGTTTATCGCATTCTCAGCCGCCTAAAAGCGTTTATTTCTTGTGCAGTTCTCTGTTGAACAGCGGACTGTGCCAACTATTCAGCTTCATGTAGTCCATTCTTCACTATCCTCCAAATTTACTGCTAAGGCTGTAATAGAAACGGATCAACCATTGCTAGGGTGGTAACCGAAGCACAGACACTGCTGGCCGTCTTTGAATCGCGCGCATGTCCGAATGCGGCTGAACGTCCTATTGCATTATAATTATTCTCACGTCTTTTGCGTCTTGCACCTTCATTGATGCGACATCTTTTATTGCCTCATGAAATGGTAACGCCCCATGCCATTTTAAATAACGACGCTCAGAATATTCGATACAATGAGTCTCGACTTCAGATGTAAGGGAACACACATCTCCTACTGTCCCATTCTGTGCTGCGACGGAGGGTAGATCATCGCTGTGACTAGAAATGTTTCTTTAAATCGATTCTTCCTAGTTGACCTCATTGGATCTTATTCCGTATTCATTAACATATTGAAGTTCATGAAACAAGTTTTTGTGATGGATTGCCTGATCATGAAAAGGATGCCTCGATTATAGTGTTTATATGCAGACCCAAGTTTCAAATCACGCTTTCACTGTTGCGCATTCTGATCGCTCTTGGCTCCCTCATCACTCACCAAATTCATCTAGGAGTTTCTTGTGCTGGTGCATTGTTACGGCCTATATTATCCCCCTCTGCGGGATACCATTCTATGAGCTCCAATGTTCGCTGTGCATCGTAAATTTAATTGAGGCAGTTGAGCAAATCCTGTATCACATGTTTTGTTTTGCCAGATTACGTCAGCAGTTTCCATCTCATGCCTCCCGTGCTGCTTTGATTCCAGTGTGCTTACTGATGCATGCGAAGTCTCTATATCTTAACTAATGGCATGATCTCAATTATGGTGGTTCTTTTCATTCGATAACAGGACAACGTCACTTTTCTTGTGTATTAACCAAAGAAATGTGCCCACCTTATACTGCCAGAGACTACGTGAACTCGGTCCTACGTCCGCAAACAATTGCCACGTGACCTTTCATACCTTCAGTAAAATTTCGGCTTTCCATTAGTGAAGCTAATTCTGCACAAATTGTTCCGTTTTTCATGTCTTATTGCTCGTACCTTTACTCAAGATCACTTCAGCGAGTGAACTTTGACAGGTCTTTTCCATATACTTTTAATGTTCTTGTTGTGGTTACAAGCGAGATCGTTTTCTTTGGTAACGGTTCGCGTTGGCACTGGTCATAGGTCAAGTAAACAGCTTTCTGCGCTAGCATTTTGGGCGCTAGATGAGTTTTGATAGTTTATTTTACCGAAAGCTATGTGCCGACACGGTGAGTAACTTAACGAATTTATTCTTTTTAAGGATGATAGTGCAAATCAGACGAACTGCTTTCTCTTGCCGTTCCTAAAGACCACGTGAACGAGGACTCATTTGTTATCCATAACCATATTTATTCACTGGTACATCATATGGATATCTTGTTTTAAAGGGTACTTTTTTTCATTCCTTGGGGGACAAAGATTTCTTTTAATGTTCAAAATTTTCACTTTTGATCGATTTGCGTAATCTGCTTGATTTTGCAATTGGAACGGAAAGGTGGAATTGAACTTGAATGGCCATTTTTGTAATTCACTCTCATTACTGTATCATCTCTCAGTGGCTTTCTTGTCAAAATCACTAGAAAAATGCAATGGGTTCTTGTTTTTTGCTACGTTGACAATTTTTATGCGTGGTTACCTACATTTGCAATGTCTCACGACATAATGTTCTGCGTTTGGTCTTTGTCAGGGACTGACTTCAACTGTCAGACAGCATCTCTATGTGTAACTTAAATAGATCGCATCATGTCCTGCTGCACCATAAGCCATAAAATTCGGAATGCCTTTTTTTATAAATGCTGAAAAGTTTCCTTAATCCGATACACCACTGTGGCCTTCTGGAATCTCTCTTTAACTGTCGAAAGAATCCCTAACACTGAGACAGAATGCTCGTTGCACAGGAATCAAGGCGCCCGGCAGAAGTAGATCGGTGGTCTCAAGTGTTTCATTACTGAACCTGGAAATTATGCCAGCAGTCGAAGCGTTCAGTTGAATTATATTATTCCTCGTCATTAAAGCTGAATTTTTGTTTTACAACCTAGGTTTTGGTTTGCCGAGTAGTTAAATAGGGACCGCGTAACAGCTCTGAGAACTCTTATATTTCACGAAATCTGGTAGAAATGACCTCAGTTTGGTAGTTTTTCCCTGCAAGTTAAGTGGTTCACCTTTTGATGGCTATAAGTTGCGTTATTTTTGTTTAACGGCGCATATTTTAGCCAATCGCCTCCATGCTATTAAGGGTTTCATGCGCTTCATCAATGATGAAGCCCAGGCTTTATTCTTTGAGGCACTGACAGGTAACGTCAGATTCGAATTTGTCTTCATATCGTTGAGTATGATAGCAAACGCCGCATTAGTCGTTTATAATTTCTCAACCATTCATATTTTTTCTTTCAACCTCATTAATCATTTACTTTTCCCCATGTTCAGACAGCCTATTAACTGTAACAAAGGCCTGCAGTTCCCTAAGTTGAGGTAGCAGCTTCAACTGTACAATGCCACCTTTACGACTCAAATAAATTATTAGTATTCCACAAAGCAGTAGTTAATGCTTTCTGTTGCACGCTCTCGCCTAGGTATCCAGCACAATTAGTGATCTCTAAGGAAATGCTCTTCTGTCGAGAGACAATACAGTCCGCCCTGCATCAGGCTGCCCTAGATCCCTCCAACTTGGACATTCCCTACCAGCCTTTTGATCCACTCAAAGCTCTCCAGTCCCTCCGCGTAGCCATGCTCGGCAGCTCTGCAGCAATGACAGCAGCAGGAGGCGTGGGTACTGGTTCGGTCACCACACCCGGTGGTCGTACCAGTGGAGCCTCAGAATACGGCTCTACCAACCGATTTAGTGGATGGAGCACTCTTCCAGGTTCCTTGAATCGTGGTGCTGGTCCTGGGAACGCTTTTCGAAATGGGGTCCAGTGTACGTGGTCGATCTTTTGAATGCTCAAACGCCTACATTATTGTTTTTTAACCAGCAAAGTTTATTCGAGTTTATTTCCAACGCTTCACAAAGATGCCTTTTAGATGTTGAACTCGCTTCTCAACTTCTTTCTAGTTCTATCCATCCATACACAACCGAATTGGGATGCGTAGTATACCAACAGTTTCTCTCGAGCATTAGTTGGTACTCCGAATTCACCACTGCCAATTCACCTTTTCACACTTCAGTAAACAAAAGTACATCTTTTGGAGCCGTTCCGTCAATGCTGAATTTGATTGTACATTTTTGCGTGTGCAATTGCAGTTTTTATGCTGCTTGCCACACTTTCTAATTGACTGAAGGGCTGAGTTTCAGCTTGTTCGAGGTGCGTAAATCCATTTTTGTTGTAAGTGTTCAAAACGAAACATTCTTACCCATGTTGCCCATCTTGGCGTGTCTTTCCAAACTTGGAGAATATGTATGCTACTGTTTTGATCTAAACTCTATCGCGATTCCTGACTATGCCTCTCCCATAGCTTTTCAACTTGTTGCTAGGCTTTTGAACGTTTGCTTCTATATGTCAAAGTAATGCGGTTTTTTACTCTGTTTAGGACCTCAATAGTCCTTCATTGTGGTACTTCACTGGTCAACATTTGAACAAAACTTTCGCAACAGACTTATTCGCCATGAGTGTTAATTGAAATTTAGCTTTGGACCAGCTGTATTATTGACATCTTGGCGCGATCATTGAGCCCCACTGCCATATTTTACTGAATCTGTTTAACGGTTTATTGTTCGTTTGATGTTTCTATATGAGATCTTGGTATCTCCGTCTTCGTGCTACTTTTGGTCTAACGCCTCTCAGAGTTGCATTTAGCCCGCGGATTTCGGTCGTTTTCAAACATCCTCAAGCTTTTGCAGTGGTATGGCTTAATAACGCATTCCCATTGCATTTCCTCACTGCCAGGAGGACTAGCAGTGCCTTGAATCTCTTGCGAATGCTGTTGCAAGTTGCTCGACGGCTCTCTCTTAGCAGTGATTTAGGGACACGATCAATGGTGCAGAGCTTTCGGCATCTTTTTGACCGGCTTGAACGTCCGTTCTCTGTCATTCTTTAGGTTAATGGTGTTTTCGTCTACTACCTACCTTCTTGTGTGGTCAATCCTGTCGATTTTCTCGTCTCTAGCGTTTCGATGCGCTATCGTACTTCAACATAGGTTTAATCATGGTATTGCTTTAAGCTAAAGTTGGTCGTTAAATGCTAGCTTCCATAGTTGTGTGTACTTGTTCGCTCTAGTTTCAACTATTAGTGAATACTTTAAGCTGGTACTTCGCATCCATCGATGATATCATTCCTCACCATGAAGTAAAGGCGTGCATGTTTGAGATCTGACCGAAAAAACAGACTAATTTCTTCAGAATTGAATTAACAACCTTGAGGCTATCGCGCGTTATTGATGACTTAATGGATTTATTTCCATTCCAATCTTGTTGTGGCCTGTTCGGAGGGTGGTTGCATACCTCATATTCCAGCCTTGTGATTGTTAGCCCAAAAAATGTTGACCAAACTGACATTATTGCATGTTTTGCCTCTTACAAATTCTGGTTTCTCTTCATTTATCATTACGCAGCTTTGCGACATCTTCCGCGATTTACTGGTACGTGCCGGCCGGTTTCGTTTGTCATTGCAAACTCGGTTTGTGGTGCACTTTGAAATGTTCAGTTAACATTTCTTGTGAATGGCTCATTAGCAAAATTTCCAACGAACCAATTCTTTTATTTGCCATTTTATGTTGTGTCTGTTGTTTTTCGTTTTTACTCTCATCTGATTGGGATGCTTGGAGGGCATATCTATGGTCTCCTTTTAACAGCAATCATACCTAGACCCATATTCGAGTCTCTGTCTCCTTACTTGATAAAAACCTCCTTGTTTTAAACAATCTGCTGGTCTTGTACCACAAACTCCTTTTATTTTTGGCTATCTCACTGATATCTTTTGATTCTATCCATTTTCCAGTGTTTTTCTTGTCGTTGAAATCATTGTGTTAAGTTCCTGATGTTCGACTCCGGTTTCTGTTTGTTTTCCAAGTTGTCGGCCTTGTTTTGAAGTAAGTTCACATCCAACGCCTTTCGTCAACATCTTAGAGATTCGATCCTCAAGGCATCAATCAGAGTCACAAAGGGGCTTGTCTCTAAGAGGCTACGAGTGGATGAGAAACTGGGAGCCGAGGTCTTCAAGCCATCGTAACATTCGTTGGACCATGATATCGTCGTTTAAGCTCTTCCGAAGTCGAATACTTGGAAAGTCGAGTCTCTTCTTCCGTGAAATACACGCACATATGCACAAGTGGTTGTACTTCTACCTTAAATGGCACTTTTATATGCCTTTTCTATTATCATTAACTTACCTGAGTGTGGGTTTGTTCTTAGTTAAGCAAATCCCTTGAATGCTTAATGACTATCATTCATTGACATGGGTTTTCTGTTGCTTGAATTGTTAAGTCGGGCATGTTTTACAACAGCGCTCCTGTATCTACTTGAATGACTCTGCTGATTTTGACGCGCCATTTTGATGAATGTTGGCGGAGACTGGGGTCCTGGTTTACCTCATTCACTTTTGTTTTTGTGCAAAAGTGCACATCTATTTCAATATTTGTGTTTTGCAGACGGTTCCAAGAATGCAATGCCTATGGGTGCCGATAGTCAATCATTGAGTAGCTTGTCAATGGCTGATAGCAGTCAATCAGTACCAAATGTTGGTTCGGTAAGCTTGCTCCATCACTCATCTTGATCCCCTCTCTCACCCCATTAACGATCGTTTAACTTTGTCTTCGTCTCCCTCCAGCGTGCCTCCGATCTTGAACGAGAGGAAATGATTTCCTTTAAGCACGCGCAGAAAATCTTATGTAAGTCTGCTTTCTCTCTATCCTCCTTTGTGTGAAAGCGGTTAATGGGAAGAGAATTTACTCATGTTGCCAATGGCAATGGTGCAAGCATTAATTCGGCTTTTACTTCTACTCAGTTTCTTTTCACATCAATGTCGTTTATTTGGAGTCCTAGATTTGTGCCTCCAGCGTCTCATTACCATAATCTCTTTCCATTCTAGTTATGTTTTTTTGACCTTAAAATCTGACGTATACCTTTCTCCTTCGCTATTTGTGTCGTAGTACTTAGGCTCTGCGAAATAGCGATCCATACACTGTGGCAGATCGTGTAACTAGGATTCTCCAAGATTTTATTTTAATTTCTTGCCCCTTCTCTCGAAACCCTCTCGTAGGACTTCTGACCGAAGTGATCACATAGTATTTCAATTAATTGCGGACGTATATTCTTCTTCATAATGGCCACTACATTTCAAGTGCTGCCATTACATTTGTATACTTTTCATTATTACCCATTGCGCCTGCTAGTTTCACGGCTGGTGAACGAATGGGAAGTGCTTTTTGAGGACATTTGATTTGTTGTTGTTTTAATGTGATATCTATTGTTACTGAATCTTTTAACCACAAAAATGTAATTTCTTCTGAATTACAACTGTGTTTAGTATTCTGCGATGCACATCGTTTCAATTGGATGCCAGTGAATAGGCAGGACATTTATGTGGCACATCAGCGAAATTGAGCCTAGGCAAGAAAATTTGGGTGCACTAGCAATAAAGCTGACCCTCAGGGTACTGTATATTTAGGTCCCTTCTATAATTTGGGATATTGAGTAGGATTTGATCCTTATTGCACTTTGCTGTTTCATTCTTATAATTTTTCTGATCATTTCACCTAATTTTGCTGCTCGATTCATTTGTCTTTTGTAGATGAATCTCCGGAAACTAGAAGGAGAAGGAAATACGCGGAAAACATGCGACTGACATCTAATTATGATGCCCTGGCGGAAAAAGGTGCGATGGACTTCAATGAGTTGTGTGCTCTACACAAGGAACGGGTGTGTTTTGTTTATTTTGTTGTGATTTCATGTTACTGAAGTTGTCGTAAGTAGACGATCTCACAGTTCTTGTGATCCTGTACCTTGTTCACTGCAAGGCCTTTTGTCACGTTTCTACCTGGTCTGGTGTCTCGATTTGAATAATTTCTTAGTAGGTTTCTAACTGTCGAGATTAAACAGTTACAAATTTTCTTTTGGAGCTTTTTCTTTTCGAAATAGTTTTCTTGTTGAGATGCAGTTTCTGCAGGCATTTGCGGTTTTTGGATCTGTGTGTTCCGTGGTTTCAGCACCCTCTTTCCATGTAGCTGATTAGCCAAGAACCACTCAACTATTTTTTGGAGTCTATTATCGCTTTTTTAGTGCCATTTCCTCTAATTGCTACATTGTTTTTAGTTCATTCATTCCTATCCGTTTAATTAGTTGTGGACTTTTTTCTTGAGTGTTCTAAAACTGTCGCCACCTCACAATCATATCAGACTCCTACGCCATGTACATTGGGAGGTCAAAAGGCCGATAGTTTACCGTGTGAGATGCGGTTGCGCTATCATTGATGTTTACGGCATCTGCATTAAACTTTTTCTGAGGACCTGAAGAGGTGGGTTTCTACTGCCAATTTTCAATTTTGGTCTTTTGTAGCACACAAAACTTCAATTGCGCCATCTCCCTCCTCCCCTTCCTGATTTGCAGGAATGGTGGTGTGCCAACATTGTAAAACTGGGTAATGCACAAAAGCCCGAGTAAAGTCCACGTAACTCCTTTCTTTTTGTGCAATTGTGGAGTCGCTACTACTGGCTTGAAAACCTGAAAGTTGCAGGCACATGACAGTTGTTAGTCAGTCACAAAAAAAATGAAAGTCACGGGCTTATGACATCAATCAATTTACACTAGCCTCTCATCATTGACCATAAAAGGTCATACTAGAATTGCGAAAACGAACGCAATTCACTGTTGTTTTAGGCTCACTTCAAGCGTCAGAGGCCGGCATGGTAGGCATTATTTCAAAGGATAATTAGTCTTACCCGGCCATCGGTGGAGTTGTTTCTCCTGACGTCCGTAATTGATTTTCTGAAGTTTATGAAAATTGATGTTGGGGCCATCTATCTCTTCTTCATTAAAGACCTTTTAGCAAAACAACTATTAGTTTATTACATTTCGTCCGCCTCATATCTTACCTAATCTCGTTGTCGGTGTAGTCACGCCTGCGTGCTCCTTAAATGCCTCATTGATTTTATGTAAGCCTGCTTAAAAATCGTCTATTTTTCGTGGAGCTTCGCCTTCAGTAGTTAAAATCGCCATATTAATGGACATTGCTCTCTTTTCTGTTGAGCCAAAATTCTTGGCAAGAGTCGATCTGGTGTGTGTTAGAGATAGTATTAGGTTTCCGTATATACATGTATATGCACACATTCAAACGGATGGCAATTCCTGCGTTGTGGTGAGAACTTGAACCGAAAGGTGTTTTGCAGCGAAAATTGATCCCTTGGGGCTAGAGGTGACTCAGATATGTGAAGTTTTGAGTTATAGTGACGTCATATTCATTAATTCATTCACCTAGTAGGCATCTGCAGTGAGGGAGCTAATTCTCAGTAAGGTGTGGAAGTTATTTAACACTGCTTAATGCATATTATTTGTAAAGTTAGAATATGTAATTTACTCAATTAAGATGTGACTTGCCACCCAAAAAATGCAACATCTAAACTTCACTGCATCGTGTGTGTGCGGGTTCTTATGTGTGCGCATTTGTCATCATAAACACAAGGGATCATGTGCTAGGCCTCGAGTGATTCTGTTACACGGCCTCGTTAACCCCAGCTCATTGCCTTGCTCTTTCTTCTTGGGTTAACATCGTCACATATTCTCTCTCTCTCTCTCTCGCTCTAACTTTTACTTTACAAAAGGGCCAAAGGAGATCTTTATAGTGAAACTCTTGGCTCCTGATCCACTCGCGACTCTTTTGGGCGTAGATATATCCTTGAACATAATATCTTACGCAATGACACCTGGGGTGATTTCACAGTCATGCTTATTCCGCAGTTCTCCTTTCATGACAGCAGTAGCCTTGATTGAGTGCTCCTTCGATGTTATTGCTTCCTAAGTGACTCCCTCAAAGGCACCTATAGCATGATTTAAATGCAATCGTGTGGTCTTACTATGTCCTCGCAGTTGATCACATGTGAAACAGTGAGAAGCCCATTGCCAAATTTGGCATCTGAGCTTGAGGTGCATCTGCGTATTTCTATGCATTTATTCACAGTGAGGTGGTTACTTCCTGCTCTATGACCTTCGCGAAAGTGTCTGCAATTCTACAAACCATGATCCCATGCGAAAACGCGGTCAGACATGGTTGAGGCGGCTTAATTGCATCCCTCCTGATGACTGAGCTTGTAAACAGGCACTGCTTCACAATGAACGCTCAATGGGAGAAGCGGTTAACTTGGCGGAGGCCTGTTCGTACGGTAGAGGTCAATTGGTTATTGTGTTGCGGAGGCCCCAGCTCGTATCTGCTAGGTTGTGTGGGTTAGCCTGACTCATGCCTTTGTGTGGATGTGAATGACTAATCCCTCGTCTCCCCTCTACCGTCATTCTGCCTTCCTCGGCTAAAATTCGTGTTCGTTCGCACATTAGTTTGGAAGAAAAAGAGAAAGAGAGCTGTGTCATTCCACATATGCGTTACCATCTTTGTCCATAAAATGGATGTTTGAATCTCGATCTGTCTTGTGTAACTGGCTGAACAAATTCTGAAACCACTAACATGGATACGTTCTTTTGCAAGCGTGTTTCCAAATCCCTCGAGCTGGTTCTGGAGACGCAGTAAAGTTTAGACAGACTTAATGGGAGTCGAACAGATATAAGTCCTGACCACTTGACATTCGTTTACACTGTTCAACCAGGCACAGACACAACGCTTCAACATGGTGGGAGTTTTCAGTGACCTCTCCAACGAGCTGAACCGTCGAAAACTGTCACAGAGACGGGTGAGTCTAAACACCGGGGGATTGTCATTTCTACGTGGCAACGCGCGAACTGAGAAGACTGATGGTATGGAGATGGCTCTGCGCCGGAGCGTAGTTGGTAGTGGCGGTGCAGCGGAGGAGAACTCGGGTGGAGAAGCGATTGAATGGAGAGTCGATAGAGAGGGAGCACCAGTTGCTAGGGTGACACAGGAGGCAGGGAAGGAAGACACACCAGGACAAGGAGTCGCCTCTTCAGCGATCCAATCTAACTGGGACTCCAATTTCATATCTCTCTTTGTCTCTTGACCCACATTATCCATTAGTATTCGGGCTAACTAGTTGCCTGCGATGTTGCTGCGTGAGCGATGACCGTCGACCAGTTTTATCCGCGATTGCTGTGGTTTTGTTGTGAATGTAGGCGTACCTTTCTTTGAGTGGTTCTCCTTGTTGTGAATACCTCCTTCCGTCCCTTATCTCTCCTGACTTTCCCTGTTTTTCCTTTTCTGTGAATGAACAATAAATGCATCAAACTCTCCTGTACGAATTAGCATTGCAAACGATCGCCCACTCGGCTCATTAGGATTGTATGCCTGTCGGATAAATTAGTCCTTAAAGCACCAACTACATGATAAATACTGTTTAATCGGCAGAACTCCTGTTGCTCCCTTCACAATGCTGTTCCAGTTATCAAAGTGATAGTCAATCTTTAACCCATTCCGTATGCTAGCAACGGAGAAAGAGCTTCACTACCCAGAATTAAGTCGAAATTGGATGTGACAAAGTTGTCGTCGGAAATATTTTAATCAGCTTAGGACAGCATTTACAAGGATAATTGCCGGTATTTAAAAATGATTACTGCAAAATCACCAGTCTACTTAACTCAACCTTACTGACACCCACCGCGGCATCTGACCGATAACGAACAACCATGAGGAAATCCACGAAGTGGATTTGAAAATCTTGCGTTTCCACGAGGTCTTCGTGACGTCTGTGAGCCGGGATACTGCAGAAGTGAAACCAAACAGTCACGCAAATGATCCATGCCTCTACCGAACATCCAACACGCCGTCATTACAGTAACAAATTTCACTAGCCTTGGAGACTGAGGCACTTCAAGCCCTTCAATGTGGGCATCTGCTAATTCGTTTCCAACCCTTGAGAATAAGACTTGATTAGCACTGATGAGCCCAGGAAACACATACCCAAGTCGCATTACCAAGTACTAAATCTGTGAGAGTTCACGCCACAAGTTCACATAACCGAAGCGAAGCCAGTGAACCTCTTAGTGGCACACCGCCAAAACCTCATACCTGCGTGCTGCATTCGTAAGGAATCTAAACGTTTAAATGAGAAGAGCAAAGTGGCGTAACGTAGCAGTTTAATGAAATGAGCTCGGGGCAGGTTTACGTTGCGCGAATAAAAGTGGAATGTTGCAGCATGATTGAGCAGTAGACTCAGTGATGGAGGGATCCGAAATTTGAGAGAGAAGGGAGTAACATTTCTACATCGATTCAAACTGTTCAACGCGGCACATAGTGTTTCCCTTGCGAATATTGCGCAGCGTCTTGTACTTGTCATTGCCCTCCCGCACGTTATACTCATGGCGACGGTCGATGTCGCGCATCTTCGACTGATCGCGTGTCGAGTTCAATTCCAATTTGAGGTTGGCCAACTTCGTCTGGAGCGACTCATTCTTGGAAACCACCGTCACACGCGATTCCTCTGTCCGCTTCGCATTTGGTATCACCTCAAGTTCCTTGGCTGAAGGATAGTAAAACAAGTGAGATACATGAAAAACAAACTGAATTCACCTAGGTGGCGCCTTACGCCACATCGCAAAATCTTTAAAAGCGCGTGCACACACGGTTGCTAAGTGATGAGAAGGTACGTGTGATCGCATAGCGATTACCGCATCAGCTAAATCGCACACTCATCCATACACAGAGAGGCGAGAGTGGTGTGTTCGACTACGCTAAGTGACCTGTAGTCGCTGTCTGCGCACTGGCGAAAGTTACTCGACCGTTCAGTGGCCTGGACAAAGACATGCAAAGCCAAGTGCGTGCAAAGTGAATAGAGATTTCTGCAAACAAAATTAGCCCCGGAAAGAAATAACAGTTGTTAAAGGAAAACAATCGAAATAAGAAACTGCAGCTTAAACCATTTATTTCAACAGAAAAGGTGCTCAGAGATATGAGCAATTTACCTTCACTTTCATCATCCTGTGAGGCAGCTGAATAGAGAAAACGAGCAAAGGTTAAAAAATGCACCAAATCGCACTTTAGAAAACTTATTCCATGCAGCGATTCACACATACGAATAATTAAATTACACTAACTAGTGAATAACAAACGATAATACAGGCCAGCCCCAACGCATTGCTTACTGTCCCCACTGCCATTGACGTCCGACTTGCGCTTTGCGTCGTGTCTCTCACGCATTCTGCGAAGCTCAGCTTCAGCCTGGGCTTTCTCAGCCTCCTTTGTGGCCATAGCGACCTTCTGAGCCTCAACTTCACGCTGCACCTTGTCACGCTCGGCGATGAGACGATTGCGCTCTTCGGCTGATGCCTCAGTCTCCTTAACGAGAAAATGATAAAGAAAGGTAGCATTCACAAGGTACTGCTCCTTCACTAGCGTAGGCAAGGCCGTAACATCACTGTGAACTGTTACCACATGTGAGTTTGCACAAGAAAAATGAGCCGCAGAATCTGTAAGAATCTTCAATCGATGCTAATAAAGGCTTATGGAAACCTCTTTGGTAGTACTATTTCTTACAATAATGCTCCATCATTTGGTACTCGAACGACCCACAAGCATTTCAACAAAATAAACGCCTTGGCGAAACCGGTGCTACTGTTTCATACATTGAAAGACTGAGACGCCTAGCTGTGATATTAAGCAAAAAAAGAATTCCATGAACATTCTCCAAAAGACTAGGTCAGTAACGTGTTCAAATATCTGAGATGAATGGATGATACATACTTAAAAACTCAACGGATCCCAGGCCTAGGTACCCCATAAGTCTTGTGAAGAAAACGTTGATCCTTAGCTAAGTTCTACAAAATTCTAGGCACAATTTAAGAATAGATCACTTGAACTCATATAGAAAGTGCATTCGGTTCAATCACCGCATTGTCATTATGCTCCAAGGCAGTCATCTTGTCTCGTAGGACAAGCTTCGAAGTTGGGCGTGCGTACAGGAGGATAGAAATCATACAAAAAGTTATGGCTACCGAGTACGCACCTCCTTCAATTTTCTGTTCATCTCCGCCAATTTATCCTGACTCCTCTGAAGACTCTCACGGGCATGGCGCTCCTGATCTAGCAGCGACTCCAGCTCCGCAATCTTACTCTCGTAGGCAGATGCTTTGAGCTTCATATCCGCTAAATCAGACTCCTTCTGCAGCATTTGAGTCCGAAGTTCCTGCAACTTCTGCTCATTTTCCATCCGTTGCAATCTTTCTTCTTTCAGACGTTGCCTTAAGAGAACAATCAGTCGCATAACTGAATACACTATAAAACACGACCCCTAGGTGATGGAAATGAGAGCACCTACTTCTCAGCCTCCTTCAATTCACGCTCCTCTTTCGCTTGTATCTTCATCTGTTGCACTTCGATAGAGTCGGACTTCCTCCTACGCATATATAGCTCATGATTGCCGGTGCACAACGCCAAAATGCGCTTATTAATTTTGGATTTCTCCACTAAAAAGTAGAATTCCTACGAATTGAAAAGGAATGAGTCAGGCATGGTTCGACGAAACCTAATCATGTAAACATATCGAAAAAAACCTTCGCAGTCTTGTCTGCTGGTTTGATTATAAATTTCTTGTCGTGAAAAGAGAGGTTCCGAATTTCCGACCAAGGGAATCCGATTTTGGGATCCAGCCTGAAAAGAAAGCAAAGGATGAGGACCCCTCAGATGAACAAGCGACAAGAAAGCAAGGTACTCACAGATTATCCGGCTCATAGATACTCAAACCCAGAGCATCAACGCCAAGAACAAGCGACGTTCCCTTCTTATTTTTAATGTTGAAGGTCTCCACACCATACATCTCCAGGTCCTGTGCGATTTGTAGATACTGAACCATTGCATCATCACGAGACATGTCATGGTGGTCCTTATAGTAGGTTATAATCCGATCGAACCATTGTTCGTCGGTTTGTTCGTACTGGTCTCTAAATTCAATAGAGCACATTCGAAAAATACACTTGAAGGAACCCAAAAAGGCGACTGAAATGCCTACCATTAAATGAAATAATACAGGGAACGTACTTTCCGGGAATCAGTCGATCGATTGGCAAAGTCTTGGGGCACGAATGAGGGTCATACGGACCATACTTGGCAACACAAGCGTAGGATGCCAGTAAGACAGCGGTGTCCGTTGGACAATAGATTTTCCCGGACATTATGTCGCTTTTAACCTGGGAGCAGATGATAACGTTAAAAACATGTCGAAAAAATTTGAACATAACTTGACCAAGAGCGTACCTGAAGGTAGAAATGAGTTATTGTGCAGGTCTGAATGAGTTCCTCTTCAACATTCTCAGGATAGAATTTGACCATAAATTTGAAGTCACATTCGGAGCCAGGAGCAAAGTCATTACTCAAAATCTTCTTATCCAACCTCAGAAAAGTCGGAGTACCGTCTTTGTCGATATACTGAATGCCAAAGTACCAGACCTCACGAAGGCCAATAGTACGGACCACTTGATCAAAGAGATCCTGACCCAAAGCGCCCTTTTGCATCTCAAATTCCAATTGTGACTCGGCTGTTGTCACTTTGACTTTGATCTAACAGACGGGTATCGCAGCATACGCAAGGCACTTACCGTCTTATTTTTTGACCTCTTCAACATGGTTCCAGTGCAAAATACGGGGTACGCGTGAGAATCGATGGAACAGCAACCGGCAACTTTAATATCAAAAACCGATATCAATGTTAGACCAATAATTTGAGAGGGTTACAATGATCGACATTAAGGAGTGGTAAACCTATGAATAGACACCTTGAGTGATGTGCCTAAATCTATCCATAAGAAACACATCTACAGGTAATAAAACGCTGTGTAAACTATTAACAGACGATTTTGTGGAGTAGTATGGAGAGAAAACCAAGAAGCAAAATTGAGAAAAATTGAAACAGCTAAAAGGAACAAGAAATTTCTGAATGATTGGCCACATCAATGAGTACGTGATGACAAATTCTGAAGAATAATTGAAGGAAAACTAATGCGCAGAGGATGCACAACTAACACAACTAGCGAAGAACAGGCCACGAAGAGAAAACCAACCCGAACTGCAGCAGATCTTCAAAAGGACTATATACCTGCAATTAATTTACTTACGGTCAGCTTAAACAAGCCCAGAGGCGACCCAAGCAAATTATTGCTCCTGCAAAATTCTTTTCTTAATTTTAATGCGCAATATTTTTTAAAGTCGCTGACTATTGACATTTATTTAAAAGGACCTTAAAATATCATGACTGTTTATCTTTAGTTTTAAATGCTTAACGGAAATTCGTAATATCAAAATAAAATAGAAAATTTTGTGATGCATTAGATTATATGCTTGGCCTAATGAAGAAGGCGTTCTTAGCGATATTATAATCGGCGTGTTCAATTTAGAGCAATTTAAATTTATTAAAATGTTTAGTTGTAGCAACTAAAATGTCATTTAATGCGTCAAATTTCTAGTGTTTCGAATGATTACTTGTGCGTACGCCTATCGAGCTATGGAGCGCTTTTCTTGTAGGCCTTAGTGTCTTGCATTTGGTTTCTGAGTCATGGGTCGTAGATCAATCAATACTACTAAAAGTGGGAAGTATATGAATCCCACTGACCAAGCCAGAAAGGAGGCTCGCAAGAGAGAACTTAAGAAAAATAAGAAACAGAGGATAGCTGTTCGACATGCCGTTCTCAAATCTAAAGATGCTTTACAGCTGCTTGAAGAAGCATCAATGTATGATAAACAAGGTATGCTTTGTAGCTTTCGTCTTGTATGTGCATAGAATATGATCCAAACGTTCAATCTTCTCTCAATGAGCGCGTACTCCAAGGGAAACGCAAACGGCTTCTTGAAACCTTTGATAATCTAGTTACTCTATATGTGGGTTTGCTTTATTTGTTTACCATCCATTCCAGAAAAAAGAGGACCCTGAATATGCCAAAGATTTGCTCCGGGCAAGGAAGGATTATGACAAACGCAGGCATGACATGATGCTTTATTACGGTACAGATACCCTTTGGTCCATTAGTCTTTTCTCTAGAACAGGTCAAACTTGCTGAGAGGACAAAAGCAAGTGACATACCTCTTCCAGACCTTCCACCATCTCAGCTCTCTTTGCCTCCGTCAGAAATACCAATGCCCATGGGGATATCTCTGTCATTCACAAAGGGGATACTTAAGAAGCCCCTCAGGTCACTACAGTCATTCAATCTTCCCCGAGCTTTGATTAAATAATTCGATCATATTTATCAAGTTCTTACATTAGACTGTATCTAACATTATTAGCCTGCCTTTCTCTACTGCCGTTCATCTTCTCTTTTCCCATTAGTATACCTGGACCTCCACCTGGAGCTGTTCCGATTGGACGTAAACCACCTGGACCGCCACCTCTACCCATTCCTGATTTAACTGATAGCGAGTCGGAGGATGCTGATGGTAGGCCTGATCCCACAAAGCAGAGAAGGATTCGATTCCTCGAGGTTTGCCTGCCTTCTTGCATGGTCACTTACTCTTGAAGCTGCTGAAATTGAACCCTTTACGTCGCTATTTATGTCTTTACTTGCTCTAGCATCTTCCATTGTCTCTAGGATCCTCTGATTGTCATCACATATATATTTGATAATTTTTTGTGTCAATAACAACTGATTTTTACTGCTTGATACCCACTCACCTTTACTTGCTTTCATAAAGCGAAGCACAATGTTTGTGCGTTATCTTAGTCCCTACCGCTTTGTAGAATGACGTTCAGGCTTCAGGATACTTACAAGGTAAGCTACTCGCTTGGCACTAAAACCTATTTTATCGTAAATATCGTCAAATTTTCTTTGCTGTTTGAATTACCTTCACTGCACGAGATGCTTCTTGTGGTTTATTTTGCCAATTGTTAAGAATCATTTGATGGGCCTGGAGTCTAAAGTTTGAGCTTTGCTCTCATTTTTGGGCTAACTCTCGGAAGCATTAGTTAAGTACACTTTTGTGTACAGGTCTCTCGACGTCTCAAATACCGTTGCCGCCAGTGGGTGCAGGTGTACCAGGCTTTCCGGGTGTTGTGGCGCCTGGCTATCCCTCTGCGACAGGTCTGCGTATAAACATGCACAGCTGTGAGTTCTCTTTATCGGTTAAAACTTAGCAAACTTTCATTACCCAGTACCAGTTGCTTGGTCATGTATTACTTCTAGGGGAAAACCACTGTTTCACATAATTCATTTGTTGCTCTTATCGGTGTTAAGGTAGAAGGCTATTGATAACACGAGATTTGCTGACCCTTTTCCTTTGTAGTTGGTTGTTATTTTTGTAGGGATGATACAATCTTTTCAGATGATTATCGTCTCGTCGCGATTCCCCCTTTCATGCGGTAGCAATTTCTGTCGGAACGAATACCTTTTGAGCTGCTCATTCATTTAATTTGCGAGGCGGAACTGATCCACGTTCTTTCAAACTAGGCAACACCATTAAGATGGTCGTATTTATCATTGTCCCAGTTCAGACTCCATCTATGTCATAGCTTGAAATGAAGTCGAAGACTAGTGGTTTCCTTTCCAAATTTCAGGAACCTTTACTACTGATGGTGCGAAAATCTTTGCAATTATAGACGAAATCGCCCTAACAAATGGGAAATAGCGAGACATCTATTCAATCCCTTGCAGTTGACATTTGGGGGATCTCCTTTGATTTAGCCTGTCCGATTCGAGCGGATAGCTAGTGCGCTATTGGCCTCGGCGAAGGCTGTACATAGTAGGGACTTCGCGTGTTCCGACGTCATTAGTATCTTACCGTAAGGCTACCTTTAAATAGAAGGATAATCGACTTAGATGCTTGCTTCATATTTCCTTCGTTTAGCGGGTGGTGCGGTGTTGTCGGCACCGCCGACAATGAATCCCTTGCCATTACACCACCTGGAATCGGGAGTGGGTGATGGTGGTGCTGCAAGTAGTAGCGGAACGACGATAGAGGCGAAGCCACAACTAAAGAATCTGATTGGTGACGCGACGCGTTTTGTGCCAACGTCTCTGAAGGTGCGTCGTACAGTGAAAGATGCCCACGGTAGACTTATCCAGGTCGGTGGCGGTATTTCCTCCTCCGGAACCCGATCAGGGAATAACTTGCTCCCTTCTCGTGAGTATTCTTTCCTTATCCATTGTTTGCAGCGAGATCAAGCAACAAAGCAGCTGATAATTTTTTTTATTTCAGAGCGACTGGGAACTGTTCCTGGAGGTGCACTCGGGGTGCCTGTGTCAACAATGTCGTCAAAAGCCAACGCTACAAGTAAAGATGCAGCATATGAGGAGTTTATGCGCGAAATGGAGGGACTCCTATGATCTGCATAGTTGTCATTCTGTAAATAGATGCGTTTTTAAGAAGTGGCGTCTCACTTAAAAGCTGGCATTATGCAGTACAAGGGTTGGATGTGACTGTTTTAGATGCGGTGTCTGAGGTCGGATGAAATGGGGTTATAATTTGTTCGCATGGTGGGCACCTAGTGGTCGTCGCATGAGGTGGGTCCCAGGCCAGATTACAACCTCACCGCATTTTTAGGCGATTACAAGCGCTCAGTACTGTCGAGTGTTTTCTCGAGTGTTACGGCACCCATTACAGTTTCCGCCGTTTGTGGAAAACTTCTACGCTCCAAACAGCGGGCGCATGTTATAAACAAAAGAATCTATGATGTTTGTTTAACACAAAGTTCAGAAATGACTTCTGCATCTGGTGTCTGTCGCATTCCCATGTTCCGGTGGCAAGGGACTAACAACACAAGCAGCACCGCTGGTAATCATCTGGAGGATTGCTTTTCCGAGGCCTTCTTATTGCATTCGCATACGAATTCGGGGACATAGTATTAAGCGTTGCAGGCGCATTCAATTTTGTTGTAAAAAATAAAATCAGTTTTCCTGCAACACAACATCCTAGGGCAAAGCCCCCGAAAACCGTAACGGCATGTTGATCGTTTCAGTAAAATTAAGGGATTTTAGCAAGTTTGGCAAGTAACTTAATTGTTTAAACAAATAATTATTTGTGACAAATCCACAGTCATCGCGAATTGCACCATGTCCTTTTATTCTATAAATTTTACCTCTACGTTTATTTTTTAGTTAGATTAGCAACGCGACGTACAAAATGGGTCACAGCCAAAATATGGGTTTTCGTTCCTTTAATCGTTTTACTATCCCGAATACTATTATTCTGCTGACCTGAAACTGAAGCGCAGGATAACAATTTGTTACCGTTTAGCGTTTCGCTCATATTTGAAGGGGAGGTAACTAGCGTACGTCAAAAACCTGCAGTTTTGATTTTGTGGCCGACTTTTAACAGTTGCATAAGACTTCACAGCATTAAGGAATTCTCTGTTAAACAATTTAGCGTCAGTCCATGCTAGAAGCCATTTCAAAACAAATAGAGGTACTCAATCACGGTAGACACCAATATGATCAATTATTTAGCTGTATATATAGGTTGAGAGTTAGCGATATCTTTGCGCAGTAGTAATTCCAAGGCATGTACCGTTGATGTTGATTTCTTTCTTGGTCTATTGGCGTTTGCTTGGTAGTATAGGAGTTAATACTATCTATAATAAATTCTTTGACTTCGCGTCGGCATAATATTCGCTTTTATTTACGTTAATAAGAGAATACTGTTAAATCTGAAATGTACTTTTATCTAAATTTTTACAAGATAGGTCGAAGTTTCCCATGATCAGTTCAATATTTTGTATTTGCGGTGCTTTAGTCACTTACTTTTCATCTGAAATATGAGATGGTCTTGCTTTCAAAAAAACTCTTATTCCCTCTTGATGTTTAAAACACTTATTCTAGTTTGTCCTTGCTGAGTCACAGCGCTATGACATCACTTATCTAAACTCAAATTGTAAATAAAGCAAAGGCAAAGATCCGGTCGGGTGGCCTTAGGCGCCCATTAGAGGGGTTCATAGTTGCATGGTATGAACCCACATTTTGAATTTTGGTATGAATGGATTTCTGATTATAATTTTTCGTTTGAATTTTATCTTAGTTAAGTACAACAAATAGTGGGATAATGCGTTTGTTAATGCTTGGAAAGAATGGCAGTTTGTTATAACATTTTGTCCCTACACCAGTAAAGGACTTTGCCCATTTTAATATGTTCACATGCCAACTTCTTTTGCATATTGCAATGTAGTTCTAGTGATATTGGTAATTTCATTTGCTTATTCATTTGCGATTGACTAGGTGCAGGTCATTCATAGAAGGACAGTTGGAATTATGAACGAGGCAATTCAATGGCAGCTGATAAATGCAACTCTTAATGGTGGTAGCCAATGCCTGCGGTCTCTGCTTTCCAAGGGAATTTGTATTGACCTTGTTCAGGTAGTCTGTTCTATCAGGATCTGAGCCTTTGTTTTGTTGTTATATGGCTGAAATATCTACCTCACACTTTCCTAAATAAGATTTTGCTTGAAGACGATCCCAAATGAGGCCTTGATAAAACATGTGTTGACACCCCCTAGCCTCCACTGATGGCCTATGATAGGCTCTTTTGAATATCGCTGTAAGATGCATTAGTGCATTGTTTGCCAAACTAAAACAAGGCACTAATGTTCCCTGTTTCTTTACTTTTTAGGCCTGCCAGCTTTTCCATTTGGCAGCAGCTTGCGGTAGTACGAACAATCTTGAAACCCTCCTCGCATTTATGCCCTCACTTAACGTAAATAGCAGGGACGAAGTGAGTTATTTGTTTTGTTCCCTTTGACCTCTGGTAAATAGGTCTAACCGTGTTTTAGGAGGCTGCGATTCACCTACGTTTATTCTCCATTACATTGAGGCTGACTTTGTAAATGCAGATAAGAACATTGAATATTTTGTGATCGTAGTTGTAGTGCAAATCTTCATTCTTCTCGATCAAACTGTGTGGAGATTGGGCTTCCTAGACAAAGTAATAAGGATATTTAATATAAAGTGTTGCAACTACTCTCTTTATGGATTCATAATATTTTGCGCCATTCCAAATTGTCTTCTACGAAGAGACACGCCACTCTGACCTCAAAAGGGATATTTCAAGAAAAACGTTGACACAGCGCATTCCAAAAAAATTTACTCTGGATTTCTTCCAATGTTATCGTCTTAAAAACTGAGTCTTTTTCTTCTGCAGGTCGGTTGTACAGCCCTCCACAAAGCTGCTGCTGCCGGTCATCGGGAGGTAATCCACTTTCTCATCTATCACGGTGCTCAAATCGACGTACAAGAATACCTTGTGAGTATGTAAGCTGACTTGAACGGCATAGCCACTATATTTCGTCAACTATTGAACCACAACGCTTAAAGTTATCAAAACAAGGCACATCATAATATATGTAGCTCTGAAAATCCGGAGAGTCCTTCACTAAATGATTTTGAGGATTGATAAATCAAGCAGAACCACTGTTAATTTGCGCCTCAATTGTGTTTTACGTTCGAGGCACAGTTGGGAAATCTGTAACTGATGTTCAGGACATCCCTATCTCTTAATGCTCCCTGGACCAGTAAGATTCCTCGAGGCTTCACAGTACCAAGGTCCTAGATTCGTGTTTTTTCAATTAGGTGTAATTTTTATTTTTACATGCGTTACGGTGACCATTATTTCGTTCATTCTAAAGTCTAGAAATCTGAAGCAAATTGACGGCTCATTAACGTAAGTGGTCGGGGTGTCGTCGCTGTATGGTAGTTCACTTCTCAAGAACCAAGGGGCATTTTCTGATCTAGCTCTTTTCTCAGATGGACCAAACTGAGAGATCAACTTCTCTTGCTCATTTGAAATATGCTAGTCCAATCACGGAACTAATGTACAGCAACTCTTGTTACTTTTGCACGCAGTTTCTAATGTAAACAATTTGTTTCGTTAATTACGCTAAATTTATCCGTAAATTTAGTGGTTTTCGCTTTCCATCCAGCAGTAAACATTTATGCAGCAGATCTTATGTTCCCATTTCTGACAGAGTTTACGTGACTGATTGAATTTAATTTTTTTGTCCGGATGCAACATAGTTTTGCCGCGAGTCATTATCCGTCTGCAGGGATGAGTTATCAAAACCAGCTAAAATTTTGTGGGTGTTTTATTGCATATGTGCCACATTCCTCAACTCAACACATTTGTCGATTTCAGCTTCTAACATCAGTCATTTTATACTGCTGTCATCGGCTGGAAAGAAGGGCCATGCACTCGGCGCTCGGTTGTAAAACAATGTTGTCACAAGACTTAAAGCAAATGTACCAGTGACTTGAATATGAGTGTAGTTGACTTGGGTTGCTGCTGCTGCTGCTGATGATGATGATGATGATTAGGATTTTCAACTCAACAATTTGATTTACAAAGTGATGTCCTCTTTGTATTTGCAGATTTTCTGCACCTGATTGCTAGACTTATGAATTACTAGGTTTTGGTATTTCCGAAATGTATTTGAAGTGAAGGCAGGAGAAAGTTGACTCTCTGTTGGATAGGCTGCAGAAAGTTGGCGTAGTATTTGCTCCATTGTAACAGACAGGCTCACAGTCATTGCATCTGCCTTGCCACAGCCGTATCAACGCTTATTCCACGATGCTCAGCCGGAATCTGCTTCACTCTTCAGATCCGTCAGTCACTAGCACAGTAACCCTCTGTTAGAGCGCTCTCGTCAATGAGTCACTACCACGTGTGTGTTTGTGTGTGCGCACGGCGTCAGAGCTGCACTTCTGCCGTCGTATGGTTTACTGCTGTCCTGTGCTCTCGTGTATTCCACTTCTCTTCCCTCAGGCTTCTTGTAACGCCTCAAATACACCCACAGGTAAAGAACAATTATGCATTCTCCTTATGAGACCTATTTACTGAATTGAACTGCTGTCGGGCAAATTTCATTCCAATTTATTTTTAAATGAAGTGTCTATGGTTTTCGTGCCACCAGATTATCAGCCTGATAGCCTTTCTTTAGATCGAATGCGAGCTGGCACATTGCAGGTTTCTAGATGAAAAGGTTTTTCTTTATGTCATTACTCCTTCCAATCACCTCATCTTCCATCCGACCTTCCACCCGTCCGTAATCTCACTTGTTTACCTACTACAGAGGTATGAAGAAATAGTTGGCGAAGAGATTTTGTCCATAGATTTGAGGATTATTTACTGTCGATGCAGATAGGTGATGATTTACACACCAAGTTCACATTTTTACTCCCCTCCTCTGGGTGATTCAGCTAATTTTATAACTTTAAAAGTAAAAAACCCTAGTAATTCTTCACTTAAGGTGCCGTCCACCTCTGCCATGCTGTCATTCACTGCCAACTGTAAATCTTTGTTTCGCTGCTCCGTATAAATGTAGGGCTGACAATGGGAAAAACGATTATTTCAGTTCACTCCCGCATGCGACATGGAAAATAACGCGAACTACTTCACGACTACTGCACAGACTGAACAATAATGCTCTTCAGACTATTGCATAATGTGAATGAGGAAGTTTGGTGCTTTCGTCTCCAGGAAGAAAAGTAAAAAGCTAGAAGATGTTGTTGGCAGTTCGGCAAACGCTGTCTGTCAATAGCCTCAACTCCTTGCATCCCAACGATCTGAAGTTGTAGATGGTATAGTAGGGTACTCATGCACAACTTATCTTTACCTTGAATGGATTGGGGTATTTATAATTCATTATTATGGGAGGCGCAATAAAAGAGGAATAACGATGAGACTACACCCTTTTATTGCAGGTTATCAGTAAATTCATTCCTTGGTGGCTCCTTTCATTTATAGTCGGAGACTAATGATGTTAATGAGTGGTTCTGCCGCAGTTTCCCTTATAACCGCAGCTAAATGCATTATTAATTTGGGCTGAGCGACAAGGCTGTCAAAGAGACATGTTTCCCACCTTCTGGTTTATCCATCAACACGAGATGCAATAGTCTGCGTACCTTAGGCACGATCAAATCCTAACGTTATGCTTAGGGTGAATTATGGACCAGAGCTGCACATGTCCACTTACTGTCTATCGTTGTAGTGACGTTAACACTATGAGTATGGTGATGCCATTGCAGGCGTTTTGTTGACGTATTTGGATGGCTAAACTTCCGTTCCTCCAATTTACTGGGGACGTTGAGCGAGGTGTCTATAAATGCGTTTCACTCTCAATTCAGCGTCGTATGCATACATACACATTAGGAATTGCAACTTCATTTATGGGGGGCTACCAGCCCACCTACGCACTCGCCCACATTCACACTCAACCCGAGTTGTGCCTGCCTCGATCCAACTCCGTTTTCTCTCCTCTGGGTCACGTGATTGCCCTCGTGCTTGTGTGCAAGTGTGTTTGCGCATGTGTCGCGAGTCTGCACAACACAGATAAACCGTCTCATTGTTGTCCACCTCACTATTCGGCCATCCAGCACCTACACTATGGCCTCCCTATCACTTCTCTTTGTGAAGTTTACTACTAAAGCTTGGTGCTGAAAAGGAAATGATTGCAGGAACCAATAAGAATGCTTATTTATCACACCGAGCTTGTGTTAAAAATTAGGCCTGTGACAATTTGCACACAGCAAAGGAAACCTACTCGAACTCCCTCAAGAGCGGAATTAAGGTCGCATAAAACGCCATAGCTGCAAAGACTTATCATTTCGGTCGTATGTGCTGGAACTTCGACAGCGCCTCAGTTTTCTCACGTTGTAGCGATTCTTATCTTCTTTTTCACACAACGCTATTGACCAATAGCTGCCCTTTCTTACTCGTTTTTGCGTGTCTGGTTAGCCTAGTTACTATGCCGAACCTAACGCCTAAAGAATGCTCTTAAAACGCCTATATACTGACCTCAACCGAAGACGTGGGCTTTTGAATTCCGACTAGTACACCACTGTCGAAGGGGGCACAGTTTTATGCGTTCTCAGTGAAATTAAATGTTTCTTGAAGACTTTGAGGAATCTCATTATACAGATGCGAAGGTGATGTGGAATCAAGTATGTACATTATTTTTGAACTACTCCTCCATCCTTTGTCAAACATTTTAGCTAGGTCTGGGTACTTGGAAATGGGGTGGGGCAGTGGCTTCACCTAGATGATCTGCTGAGACATTAGAATCTCGTAATCATCGACGGGACACTTTTGTCTTCTGATGTCAGTTTAAACCATGTAAAAGAAAACTGACCGTTACACTCCCATCATTGGTGTGCTGCAGTACCGTTGCTATATTTATAGCATGTAAGTATAGTAGTTTAGAGTCGGTTACTGCATTCAACTCTTCAAAATTAGTATCAGACTTGCCATTAGCGAAGCATGTTTCTATTTATTGCTCCAATAGCTCGTTTTATTAGACTAAAGTAGTGTCACGCCTCTGTAACTTCATCACTGGAACAAGTTTGCAGTTTAATCTCCCAATACTGAAAAGGAAGTTCCCCTCTCCTTTTGTTGCATCGTCTGGATATCAACCAATGCGTCTATGGCAAAACTTTTGTGCAACCAATTAGCAGTTTGACAAGCGCCACATTACATGCACTTGTATCTTAAAGGCCTGGTGAAATGAATGAACTGTCACACATTTGTGACGCTGGTGCCATCGTAAGTGGTAATCAGTTTATTACCGAGCGTTACAACTTCGGTAAGGTTTGTAGAGCAATCACTTCAAATTCTGACGGCTGTCTCAACTACTTTTATTGCAGACAAATGATCGCCCTCCACGCACAACCAATAAACGTTATTTAACTGAACTTCCGTTATAGTTGGACGATTTTATTCTCTCCGAGCTCCACAATCGGATGAAGTCAGCCTTACTTGGCTCAATCTGAAGTTACATTAGATGCTAATAGTATCCACCTTCTCTACTCAAACAGTAGATGGCAATTTTGCTAGCACAACATGGTACGATGTCTGACTCCTTCTTTTCTTCTATCTCCCGTTCATCGATGGTACTCGACTTCGATTACACTACGGTCTGGATTTGAGCTTGATCCACTCTTACTCCAAGGCACCTCAACGGAAAGGGTACTGCTTGCAAGGGCTAAGGCAGTCTCGGCCTTAGTAAAACCAAATCTTAAAATGCTAACCGTTATTTTAGTTCGCGTTAAAAGAAGGGAATCAGTGATTTGTTTCATGAGAAGTGAAAATTTAAAGTGCTATAGCTCAGTATACAAGTGGTTGTTGATGAAGTTCTCTGCCTACTTTAAATGGCGTTTGGTCAAGTGAACGAAATATTGAGAATCCACTTAGCCATACACCTTAAAAACATCAATATAAAGCCAAAGTAACAAATTTTTGTGCCTTAAGCAAAGGTTGACTTTATCGTTTTCAGTATGGCAACTCA